TTTTTTTTTTTTTTTTTTTTTTTTTTTTTTTTTTTTGCTTCTATGACAATTTTCTATTTGCAATACACACACACAACACTCGCCCGCATAAAGTCGCTGATCGATTGAAATACACGTGAATGCATTTTTTGTTTTGTGTGTTCGTTCACACACGAAATATATATAAAAATGAAAAATAAATAAAAAAAAGGAAGAAAAACAATAATATTTTTAATAGAGCAAGCACTAGAGCAATTGTTGCCGCGTTATTATGACCGATTCGGTGTTAATCTAAACGTATGTATAAGTATGTGCTGTTATGGTCTGCTCGATGCTGCTGCTGCCGTTATTATTCTTCATGTAATGTAAGAGGTTTGTTGTGTATGCACTGATAATAATCGAATGCCACCGCATAGCACTTAAAAGACAATAAGAATTTTTTTTCGTACACTTTTTTTTTCGTTTACCGTTTGCCGTTCATATCAATAAAAACAAAACAAAATTATATACTTAAATATTAAAATATATATATATTGTATTTATACGTCGCGTAAACGTTACGGTAATGTTGCTTGACGTTGTTGGATGGCGTTAAATCAATTCGAAACGACTGACGAAAAACGAGACGACAAGAGTTTACTATTTTCGTACTGTAAAGCGTTTGGATTAAATTTTTCTATAAAAAATGTTCACTTTTTGGTACCATTCTCTTTTTGTTTATATATATACACACATATATATATATATATATAGATATATATATAGATATATAGATATATATATTTATATATATTTATTTGCTCTGACGTGTAGAGTATACAATAATAATAATAAAACAAGGCGTAGAGGAAGAAGAATAAGCTTTAACTGGTACACGGTTAACACTCCGCAGACAGTACTGCGCTCTACGATAATAAATATTATAATAAAACGAAATTTTTAAAAGAGTATAAAATTCGTGTAATTGGTAATATCTGCTGCGCCGGTTATAGCTATAGCTTTTAACGCTGCCAACTTGGGGCCGCTGCTTATACTATGCTACATATCTATACACATATATGTATGCGCGTAATGATTGTATGCGAATACATACTTATACATGCAATATTTTTTTCTTAAACGTTCGTGTGATCCACATGCACACACATAAAATTTTATAAGACGCTGTTGTGGATGTTGCTGCTGCTATGTGGTGGTAGATAGCGACGGTTAACGTAGCCGAGGCGTTGGCCGTTTGTATATTCTCATGTGTTGGAACGTTTGTGGCTCCGCTTTTCCAATAATCTTGAGTTTTCTTATTGTTTTTGTTATTTCTTTTCAACTCGACTGAATGCATTCCTTCTCCCGGCTTTAAAATATATTGAAACTTTTAAGGACGAAGGGCAGATTTCTTTGCTAATAGGTTTTTTTTTTTCTTTTTTTATTTTTTTTTTATTATTCATTTATTACTTATTTTTAATTAGATTAAATATGTTGCTGTTTTTTAATTTGTGTAAAAGTATTTGTTGTTGGTGTTTGCGTACTCTTGCCCTTTTTACCTTTTTTACAAAATACCGTCAACAACAACAACAACAACAACAAAACGCTTTGTTGACTTTCACACGTACGCGCAACAGCGTCAGCGTTTGTTTATACTGCTGGCAGAGGCAAACCGATTTTTTTCGTTTAAACATTAGTTATCTCTTTTACTCGTACGATGGTCGGTTTTCGATGGAGAGTAATGGCGTTATTGCCTTTTAAATGAAGCTGTTGCTGTTGTTGCTGTTATTGTGTTAGTAGGCATGATGGCTGCTGCCTTCTGCATTAATTCTTCACACATAACTGAGTGATTTTTAGAGCTCTTTAACACTCAATTGAGTTGATTTATAACTCATTGAAAATTGAGAACTTCAACAAAACAACTTAAACTATAACAACAACAAAAACAACAATAGTAACAACAATAACAATAAATTGATATATTAAATAAGAATCTTGTTTGATTTTTGCGACTTCACAGCGAAGACAGGTACACGTACGTATGTACGTACGCATGCAACACCATTTGATCTATATACAATATAGAGACGGGAAATTGCTTATCGATTACTCGATAAAGTGTTGATAAAAGAAAAATTTTTTTTTTTTGGAATTTGTAATTAGATCATATTTTAAAATTTTAAATATATTCATATTTTGAAAATGTATATAACGTCAATATTGATGTAAAAGGAAGGCTTTTTTTCTACCTCTCTCTCTCTCTCTCTCTCTCTCTCTTTCTTTCTCTCTCCCTCAATATTCTATTGTTTACACTCACTTATTTAATACCTCTATCTCCCTCTAGGTCGCTTTTCACATCGTTGCTCATCTTTGATTCGCTCTCTTTCTTTCATATTTTATAAACTACTTTGGCTCTCTCGAATTTTTATGGTTGTGTCAGACAAATCACTCATTGAAATTTTTCTCATTGTTGCCCGCTTTAATTTTGTTTGTATTGTTATTGTGGTAGTTTGATTTTTATTGAAATTACTGTTATGACATTTTTATGAAAATATTTAAAATTTATGATTGGACACTCGTTCGTGTATGCTAAGCGAACTGGGAAAGAAGGAAAGCACACACACACACAATATTTTGAATGCCTTTTTTAACGGTTGTGTATGCAATATTTTCCGAATTATTGCATTTTACCTCTCACTTATATACGCCGTTTCCCCCCATCAGCCATGCACGCACCTAACAATTCTCTCTACTCTTGTTCACCTAACGTTTATTATTGTGTTATATAAATCATTTTTTTCGACTTTTCACTAATTGGGTAATTCATTAATTTACTTTAATCCTAATTAAATTAGAAAATCTAGCGGTTTCTTTGCATGCAGATGTGTGTACGAAAGCACTCGCATCAACTCTTCTGACGTCAATATCACTAAGCGACCAATTATTGATTGGCATATTAAATTAAATGCAAGGACATATATATATAAGTGTGTGTATTATCTCTTCAGTGTTCAAAAGAAACCCCGTTAGCATTAAAATAACCCTTTTTGCTCCATATAAGGTCGAATAACTTCGAAATTGTGCAAGATGCAAATGTCTTGAACGCTACAAAATTCAGTTAGTCAAGGCGGAGTTTCATCATTTACATTAGCGGTTGAGATATGAGACATGTTTTCGAAAACTTCTTTTGCAATTTGCAAGTAAATGTCGTATTTCATACCACCACCACCACAGCCAGCAGTGAAAGGATTCCTTCTCAGGGACGTGCCCTGCAAGGAAAAAGGGGTCACACGATTTTTCAGCAAATCATTCCATATCCATGGATAATTAATTGTAAGTTCTGTTCATTTGACCATGACGCTGACGGCCGTCGAAGGAAGAAGATTTTGAAAATTTTTTGCTTACTTACGTGGAGTTCTACTGCAAACATTCCCTCCTTTTTCAATTTCTCTCTTTAATGAACTGCTGCTATATGTATTCATTACTTTTATTATACTTATTTTATTCGTACACCAAAAAACAATTACAATTTTATTTAATTAAATTAGAAAAAATTGAAATTTATGAAAATTGCACAAGCTTGAAGCGATTCCATTTTCGACGCAATTTGATTTTGCCACATTTTGTTGATTCTTAACATTCACGTAAACCAAAAGAAAACGATAATGTATGAATGAGTGTCAATCATAGTTTTCAAAAGAAAAAAATCATCTAAAGCAGAAGATTTATTTTTAGGCGTTTGGCTGCACTGAAAGTGGCGGTATCAAAACGTCCGAGTTTACGAATAATTGTGCAACTGGCCAAATGCATCCGAGCCAACTGCGTGCGTAGCTGGCGTTAAATAATTCGTACTGCCAATGGGTGAAGTCATCACTGTGGAAACTTCACGTTTCAGCTTCGAAGACGTGTTGTTAAAACGAAATGTACGTCCAACCTTATGTCAAACTTATGTCACTAACATCATCCAATTCCCGCATCTTCTGTACTTTACAATATTTGTTTAATTAAGGTGTGCACACAATGGTTACACGTTCACGTAGTTGTTCCTGCGCTAATTTTGATAACTCCGAAAGCTCCGAAAAAGCTCATTTTTCGGAGATTGCGGACTTATCGTCTTCAGCACAAGAACAACTACGTGAACGCGTAACCATTGTGTGCACACCTGAATTAGACAAATATTGTAAAGTACAGAAGATGTGGGAATTGGATGATGTTAGTGTTTGAGTATCTTGTTGAAAGCATCTAAATTGGACGCAAGCAGGCGTTTAAAGGTTGGACGTACATTTCGTTTTAACAAAACGTCTGCGAAATCGAAACATGAAGTTTCCATAATGATGACGTCACCCTTTGGCAGTAGGAACTACTTAAAGCCAGCTTCGCATTTGGCTCAAATGCAATTGGCCAGCTGCACAAAAATTCCTGAATTCGGAGATTTTGATGCCGCCAATTTCTGTACAACCGACGCGTAAAAATAAATTTTTTTGTATGTCAATGAAAGAATTGCAAACAAGACATATTTTGCGTTGCCAGTCCACACAATCATCAGAGATGATAAGCTATGTCCACATTCAGTCAATGGACGAGATCTCTCAATCGTGGTCACTAAAGGGGGATACGCTGAAGCTAGAACCATTGGATGAAAATAAACGCGTGCTTGTATGTGCACGTATTCTCTTCATGCTTTAGGAGAAAGCCGAATAAAAAGAAAACGCTACAAACTTATGAAACAATGTGTGTGTGTTATGGTTTGTTATCAGAGGAAAAATTAAATAAAATTAATCATCTTCAGAAGGTGCGCACAATTAAATTCATTGAACACACAACACATTGAAATTTCAATGAAAGGTAAGGAAAAAAAAATAAATTTTTTTCTAAAAAAATAAAAATGTTTAATAAAATAGGCTGTAAATACAGCTGACACCCAAATTGAGAATGTATTCGCCGCTGTTGTTGTTGTTCAAGATTTCTTGACCCGACTGGATTTTGTTGAGAGAGTTTTTAAAACAACATTAATTGCTCGTAAATAACAAATTAAACGCTTTGCCACACTTTAGTTTATAACATCAAGCGCCAGAGGATGCTTAACACCTTTACGCTACTTTACACTTTGCCTTGCTGCGCATATGCATGTGACGACTTGGATGGAACATGTGTCTCTTTCTTTGCATATAGTATTTATATGAACGGGGTTGTACATCACATCTTCTGCCTCGTCGGCGATGCTTTATTTCTTAATAACTGAAAGAGAAGCAAAAAAAAAAAAAAAAATACAAATCACACAATCAAAATTGAACAAATAAATAAAGACAAAACACTAAACAGAAACAAACAAATCATAAAACAGCTTCACACATTCATAAATATTTTTACAACTTTATTTTAATTTTTTATTCTTCGCTCTCCTGGTTAGATTTCAAATTGACATGAAATTGTTTAGTGTGTTAAGTAAAAAATAACGATGCAATAAATATCTGGGAAAATAATAAATAATGTCATTAACGTGTGAGACTTAATGGTGATACAATCGAACAATTGTGGCTTAAAAGAGTTTAGTTTAGTTGTTCTAAGAAATTATGGAAACAAGCTCGCTAGCATCATACACCATCAGCAGTCATTTCGAAGTCAGTATAGAACCTACCTGCACACCAAAAATGAATGAATGCCTGACATTCAATATGAACGGTGGCACCATCTACTCTCTTCGAGGATAACCAATAATAACACAGCAATCTACTGGATTTAAGCCAGTAAGCTAAGCTAGGCAGAGAGCGTCCGTTAAACAGACGGAAATTATAAATAGTTCGAGTTCGGGATGGCCAGGCTCTCCCTTATAACAAACTGAGGCCTCACGATGTCATTGCCTTCGTACAACGGATATTTTCAATCATTCCCAATAAAACAAGGCGTCTTTTTTGTAGGCATAACGTTAAACTGACTTTCCATCCAAGGAGACAGATTGTATATTGATCACAAACAGACTTGGAGGAAGTGTGGCTGGCAAAATGAAGAGGAGGCTAGAACGACTTGCTTACACAAACACATTTTCCTGCCCAGAATGGTATGCTTAGTAAGCACGCATTTTTCTTCAATGACGAACGGAAACCAAACAGAAAAGTACATATCTTTCAGCCGATTTAGACATGTCCCATCCTGTGCGTCTCGCCCTTATTATGTATGTAATTTAGTTGTAGTTTAATTATGTGCAATTAAACTAAAAGCGAAAGGAGCTTTATTCTTCTTCTTGTTTGTTGTCTGTTTTCGATTAAAGAGGATTACTGCCTATCATCTGATAGACAGATATATATATGTGTAATATCAACAGAGGCGATAGATATTGAATGCAGTTCGATTTTCGATTTTATCCTTTTTCAACAATACACAATTTGCCTGTGTTTATAAATAAACGTGTTGTTGTTGTTGGGCTAGTAGCGCTTTTCTTCCTGCTTATCTTCTTTCAAATGAACTCATTCTAAAATCACTCAAACATATTTAAATGCTCTTCTCATTCTCTCTCTCTTTCTCTCCCTCTCTTCCTATTGTTATCCATTGCAGTATTGCCAAGTTTTTATGCTTGTAATGCTCTTTGTGTGGGAATGTTTGGATTTTATGATATATTTTATGACTTTTGTGCGGTTTTTGATTTGTACTAAACTAAAAAAATCTTCGCCTGTCGATATTAAGTGGTACTGGTTTCCATATTAATTAAAACAACACATGGCCTGCAAGTTTATTATCCACTTCTCAATATACATTTTAAGTGATTTAAAGTATCAGTATATTTACATATATATATATATATATATATATATATAGTGATTATGCTGAGTAAAATATTATGACGTCATAACTCTTGTTGCTGCGCCTTTGTTAAACTACTACTGGCGTTGAAAAGGTCTATTAACTTTAATTTGCAATTAAAATAAATACATAAGCACACAAACATTTTTATGCTTATATATATATATATATATATAACCGTAATAGTGTATAACGCGTATCTTCATGGGCAATTACACTAAAATGTTACTCTATTCAGATGTAAAAGAAACATTTAATCCGAAAATGTGTTATTACTACGTTTCCCTACTAAGGTTAATTTTTTTATCTTGGCCTATGTTGCTGTAGAAGTAGCGGAACGTTATTGTTGTTGTTGCTTTTTTTTTCTTTGTTGTTTTTATTGTTGTAATAAAAAAATCATTATATGTGTTTGTCTCTCATAAAAGTACAAATAAAAGCAGATAATTAAAATTAAAAAGCAGTTTTTATAACAATTTAATTGTTTTTATGGACGCAACCGTTTTGTAAATCATAAATTATATATATATATATATATATATATATATATATATGTACACATATGTATATAATTATATATACATATAGAAAAAGAAAGATAAATCACTCTACAGAATTTATGCTGCAAATGTATAACAAACGAAATTTCAGATTTTTATCTCAAGTTGTTCATAAGAATTCCAAAAATACAGCAAAGGTCGTAACAGATTGGTTAAGAAATTTCGATCAATTCAACAAACGACGTGTTGCATAAAAATTTATGTTTTGTCCTTTGACCTATTTAGTCTAACAGAGATTTGCGATGCGGAGTGAAGTTCAAAATAAAACCTAAAAAAAATTTCATTTTAATCAGAGAGGACCACATATGAGCAAAAATTCCTAGTGCGACCTCGTCATCTCTGAGCGTTGCCAGGTAAAATTCTTCAACGTACACTCACTTTAATGCTTGCTTTTGTGCAACAGAGTAATATGTTACGTTAATATAGTCAAAAGGACAGACAGCCGGAAGCTGTAAAGCTGATAACAGCAAATCTCATTGTCAAGCTTACTAGTTTCGCACTAATACGGCTGAGCACTTCTCATCCAACCCACATTCTACACACGGTTGCACTCAAAAAATAAAGACTAACGATCGGACCCTTCTTACCGTATGGGCCGACTGTTAGGATTTGAGATATTATGCATCCTGGCCTGCCCTACTTATGTTTTCCTTCGGCCTGTAATTTTGTGTTATTTTCTATATTCTCGCAAAAGGGGAAAGGCATTCAAAAAGACTGAAAGCTTCACATTCACTATGGTTGGGGATCAGAAATCACTGCAGAACTTTATTATCCGCTAAGTCAAAAATGTGGTAATATGTGTAGAAATGGCTTCTCTCCTGCATTTCACTTTCTTCTCGATTTTCCTTTTTCAAGATGAATTCGTCTACACCTCTAGGACGGCGGCAGAAACATTATCAAACTACTGCTGCGGCGTGACACGATCGATGACGAGTTCTTTGTCTCGCGTTTCTTTTAATGAGGAAAAAATCCCATTTACGGAATTAAAGCGCGATTCAATATTTTATAGATATGTTGACTTATCCTCATATGTGCGCTGTTTTAATATTTAGAATAATCTTGTGCAAAATTGCATTTCTTGTTGTAATGGAAAATTTTACGCAAAAAAAAAAACCACAAACAAAACCATTTGGATTAAAAAAAAGTATAACAGAATGGCCAAGTTTTGGCCATCAATGACCTCTCCAACGTCTTTTTGGCGGTGCGTATTTCTTTCCCTGGTGCCGCAAAAATAAAATTCGATAAAAAACATTATGCATATTATGCATGTATATGTGTATATAAAATATATAAAAAATTAAATCGTAAAATTTTTACGATCGTTTAATGGACTTTTGCAGTGTAGGACTGCCTAAGCAGCACATGGATTGGACGTAAGAAGAGACGCGAAATAAAGAAAATACTTTTCTAACTTAAGTTTTCATATCTGTTTCGGTTTGGCGTTGTCGGCACGATCGCTCGCATATGCCTATAATTATAGCTACTCTACGCAACACTATGGCTACGACAACATAAGTTTAGATTCATTAAATCCATATTATTTTTTATTGTTGTTGTTGTTGTTGTAGCATTATAATTTGTGTAAACTAATTTGATTTTAGAAAAATAATTTGTTGTTGTGGTTGCTCTCCGTTTCATTTAGCATCGAGAAACCAAGTTACAATGCAACTTTTAGACACCCGCTGACTTACAGCGTACAGCAAATGATTGTAAAGAAAATGAGGAAATTAGTTTAGAGAATTCTAACAAGACCAGGTATTTTTGCAGAGCAGCGACATCTGTACCTTTGCTAAGCAAATAGAAATCGTTAAGGCAGACTTTTTACAGAACAGTTACTTGTCGATAATGTTGAAACTTTATTTCATCCCCTTACGAACATTGCTTTAACAGCAAAAATAATTTGCGCATGACTTTTGAGTCCTTATATGAAATAATTTGAAATATCTTCGAATGCTTATATTTGTTTTAAACAAAAGAAAAAAGAAAAGAAAAATTTGTCTTCTTCAATTTTTAAATATTAATCAATGCTATTTTCAACTTGTAGAAAAGCAAAGGGATTTCGAAAGTTTACACAATTAACGTAAACACCTTTAACATGATAAGAGAAAAATCTCACTATGCTCGAGAATCCACTCAGTCCCTGTAGTGTAGTCGTATGAATTCTTTAACGAATTTGCATAAACGTTGTGATGCCAGCGCTTCAACGGCTTGGTTACCACTTCATTGTGGTCTCTTCTTTGCAAGGATGTTATTGCTTGCAACGGGACAGATCTACTCAAAATTTGTTTGCAAGATGTGTTTCTCTGTTATACGGATGGCGCTCGCTGCAAAGATTAGTGAAAGACTCTGTAAGTCGCGTAAATTATTAGAGTAAAAACGATTCAGTTTATATTTAGGTGTAGGAGCTTTTCTAAACCGTTTCGACATAATTTTTCTACAGTTTTGGACTATGTGGTTAAAAATTTTGGAACGGAACTACTTTGGACATAAATCATTTGATGGGGAAACGGATGCACTGCATATACATATATATATTAGTTTTCAGCTTAAACTAAATAATTTCAAACACCGTAATTTTAAAAGACTTGCCCTAATAGCATCAAAGAAACTGTAAAGGAAGACCACTTTGCTTGCTCTATGTCCTTGATTCCCTTTTCCTTTTAATTAATCTACTGCTTTTTATAAAAATTATTATTATTTTTATTTACCTTAGAGGTGAGTGACCGACAGCCGAAGCGGTCATTAATTTCTGATGCAACGTTTACTTCCTAAGGGCTAAGTACAAATAAAGAAAGCAAATTTAGATGAAGTCATACAAAACTGAATTGTCCCCATAGCCACATACACATAAAATGATGTCAGTCAAAATATCTTAAAAAGAAA